ACTGATCGTTCTCAAAGATACGGCATTTACTATCGGCTAAGTGCTACGGATCTCAGCCTGCAGCGGCTGTGATCACTAATCCCGGGCTCTCCTGTTGACGTGCAGCGTGCTTGGTACCAGGACTTGGGTTTAGAGTTTAGGGTTGAGGGTTTGGGGCTTGGTACCAGGACCAAATTTGCGCGTACATGGAACTCCAAAATGGGTGGGATAGGGATTATGTAGGGCATATGAAGAAATCAAGATAGGGATCGTTCGGGGATATGCACTTTCTTTGTGGGGACCGAAGTAATTAGAATGGGGTTTTGCCGTAGAACATGCCATGTGCGGATTCTACATAAAGAATATTACTAGGTAGTTAGGCTGCTCCACAAAGTGCCCTGTAGGCCATAATAGAGACCAGTTTCGATCTAATTGAATTGTCCATCGTCTTTTCCATCTGGTTCTCCCTTATTGTTGACCGTTCAAGCCCCTAAATGCTACACCTTAAAACCGATCCTGCAGGCCGAACGCCAGCGAAAAGGTCAGACTCGCCGTCAGACCTACGAGCAGCAATACCTTCGCCGAGGCCTGCCGCCGATGGACATAGGGCTCGCGGTTTAGGTTATTTTTTGTCGGTTCAGGGTCCAAGGTTTAGGGGTATACGGGGATTCATACCATGCGATTTTGGAGTGTTGGATTTTGGGTTCAAGTTTGGGGCTGACGGTTTGTCTGAACATAGCACCCCGTGTACAGACGCAATGTTGACATACTCATTGGGCGCAAGGCAGGGCATCAAGGTCGTTGAGAAACCTTTCGCGGTGTCGCGCTCACACTTTATTGGCTTTCCCCATGTGAGCTATAGTCTAAACTCTCACTATCCCTCTTAATAACCCTATAATGCTCCCCTATAGAACCCCCTTGAAGGATTTTAGACCTTAGCTCATGCGGGAGTGACTTGGATATCCTTTTCGTAGTCGGCATCACTCCATAAGACCAAGTACCTTACCAAACATGTCACTCCCATCAACATCATCCTTAAAAGCTAAACTCTAAATAGTAGTTTCCGTTTTCTTTTCCATTACAACATCACCCTTAAACCCTAAACCCTAAATAGTAGTCTCCATTCTCTTTTCCATAATCCCAATATGACCCCAATATGAACACCCTAATCAGTGTCTAGACCCCTCCTCGCCTTGCAGCCAAAGGCAATTTATTGCAATCCCCGGGCCTGCTGGAAAAAGGAACCCGCCAGACTGTTGCCCACCGCCAGACCAATCGAATGCCAGGCAAGCAAGACGACCTTACGCTAGAATCAGCGCAAGTCTCTGCAAAAGAGCACGGGGTATCATCTGCTTTCCATACAACATGCGCCTTGTACTAACATGGGTGCGATTCCGGCGGAGCTGAGCAGAATCAGCCATGCTAAGGTCCCCACAGCATGCCCAAATGATGCATTATGAGACTCGGGATTGCCCCAATCGGCAACCTCAATGCACGGGCTGCATGCCTCAAACCGTCCAAGAATGCACGTTGGCTTCATGGCAAACAGCCATGTAAGGCCCCTGCATCCATCGCAGCCACAGTCGCTGCCCCGCGGTCGAAGTGCTGAAAGCAAGCTAAAACAACTTTGCAGACAAGGTTAGGAATGGTGCAATGCTGCGGCCCTACGTTCAAAGTGCAGCTGGTTGACAGGCACTACTATTGCTACTATTACTACTATTATTACCATCTGCTTTCACGTTGCAAAATTGTGATTTTGATCACGCAGACAGGAAGCCATCCAAGGCAAGGACCACCAGTGCCTCAGAAACCAAGTAGTTTCCATGTTCTTTTCCATTATCCCTATGTGACCCAAATACACTCCTAATATAACCCTAATATTAACCCTATACCCCTAGGTACCCCGATATAATTCTGACATCGATTTAGGGTGTTGGGTTTAATTAGAGTTTACGGATGTCGTTTGTGGTTACAGATTGTCATTGTTGCGGCCAAGCCATCCAAAATCAGACATGCCTGCTTTGCAAAGCTGTGGCAAACGAAAACTGCCAGCTTACAAACCGAGGTTCCAAATATTGGATCCAATTTTGGGGGGAATTCCTACAATAAGGATTCCTGTACATGGGGGCACATACTTGGGCCCTTTTGTTTGATGGAAACCCTAAATCCTAAACCCCGAACCCTAAGCCCTAAATCCTATATAACCCCTACGTAACACTATATAACCCCTGTAACCCCTATGAACCCCTATGCCAGAATTCCAGTTTCACACGTAACTATTTCTGGAGAGCAGTTACCTGGAGGGTCAGCGGGACTTAGTAAGTAGGTTTGTAACCCCCATAACCCATATAGTAACCCTAGATGATCCTAGATACGCATAGTAGTAAACTAAGTCCGCCTGACCCTCCAGTGACTGGGGCAGTGGCCACAACTGCCACCCAGAGTTTCAAGGTGGCTCGTCTGGGTCCAAGCCTCGTTTGGGGTTTAGAGTTTAGGGTTCTGGGTTTAGGGTTCTGAATTTGAGTTTTAGGGTTTAGGGTTCTTTGTTTAAGGTTGAGAGTTTAGGGCTGAGATTAGGTGATTCCCCCCCATAATAACAGATACCACAATGGGGAATCGGAGTTGTAATAGCCCCTTAATGAGACCCCCGTTGAGGACAGCTCCTGTGAGGGCAAATGACAGAGGGCTTACCGTTCAGAGGCTGCTTCCTGTTAGGTTTAGGGCTTAGGGTTTTTAGCACACTTTCATAGCCATAAACAACCATATGGAGGGAGGGGGGGTTCCATAAGTAGGTGCCTAATATGGACCCCAAAATATGATAATTCTTACTGTGGGCATATACTGTAATGGCTCCCCAAAAAGGGCTCCTAATTTTTGGAAACCCACAAATCAAAATGCCTCTTGCGAACTCGATGGACTGATCCCCTAGGTTCGCCCTTAGTTGGCCTTTATCCTTCAAGAACTCTAATTAATGGGGAACCTTGGGGGGGTTATAACTTTTTCTCATATTCCCTACCATAACCCCAATATATACGCTAATACACTACAGTAGTTTCCATTGTCTTTTCCATTATCTTTAGACAAACCCAATAAATTCTCCCTACTAAGTTGCCGGGGGTTCAACCCTAAGTAATGATTTTCATTTGGTTGTCTATTTGTTTTTGCGTTATGTTCCTCATATAAAATACTATACCCCAAAAGGAGGATAGAATCTTACTGTATATTGGGTACCATAGTATCCCCAAATAAAATACTACTCATTTGATTTTGCGTTTGGTGGGGGTTACCGCATGCACTGAGGGCACCACAACCCTAGCGATGCCCGCTCCTGCGAGAGCTCCGACACCAACGGGTCACGCCTGGTTGCACGACTGTTTGGGGTTTACTTGGAGGGTCATGGAGACTTAGTAAGTAGGTTAATAATGGGGGTAAATAGGCCTACTATACAGGCATAGGGGTTATCAACCTACTTGCTAAGTCTCCCTGACCCTCCAAGTAGGATTAACACAAGTGCCACAACCCCAAACCCCAAACAACAAACCCCTCACACCCTTTGCTTCACTCCGCTCTGTTGCACGACCCATTGAAGCCAAGCTTGCTACATTAGTATCCAGGGCCGACGTTTGCAAGTATTGAAAGTGCAGCTCCAATGCTTCTATGGGGAACCTCCCATGTGCGCTACAGTCCAAACTCCTAGTATTCCCCTTAATAAGCTCTATAATACTCCCCCATATAATCCCCTACATAACCCCCTTTAAGGAGTTTAGACCCTAAACCCTCAACCCTATATATATATATATATATTTCCCTATATAACCCTATATAATCCCCTATTAAAACCCCCTTTAAGGAGTTTAGACTATAGCTCATGTGACAATCCTACATGCAGGCGCAAGGCTGAGGCTGCTGCTCCAACAACAACATCGAAATCTGAGCTTTCGAATTATGAATTAATGCGTCCGGCGCCCATTGCACTCCATGAGGTTGTCCATGTTGACTTTTTTATGTTGAAGGTGTAGGTTTTAGGATTAAGGGGGTTACATGCACTATGTAATCCAGCAGCCACAGCATGACCCGGAATGCAAACTTTGTCGGACAAGGCATCAGGTATGGTCAGCATCACAAGGCTGTGCTTTTCATCTCATATCCAGTGTTCGATATAGGCATAGATTATTGTTTGCGGCATGTACCTTTTAGTGCATGGTTCATCTTTGGATCATGACGTCTGGAAACAGCTGCGATCGCCACTAGCATGGTGACGTTGATGCTGCTTCACGTCCACTCACTTACCGGAACTCCCCGCACAAGGTTTATGCTTGAGGTATGTCACCCTGAGGCTAGCATCGCGCAGCGGAATCCATGCATCGCTTTCCAAATTCCCTGCACTTTATCCATCATCGTGTGGTATTGTTTTCACGGCGTGTCAAGTCAACTTCCATAGAGCTGTGACGTTTTGCCCATGCTGTTGTCTCCCCTTGCAACCATTCCACCAGAATGGGCATAATGAGCGCAAGATGTGAAATCCCAATCGTACGAAGACGTCTTGGCCGTGTACCCCATCGATCGCCTGACGAGGTTTGCTCCACCGCCAGCACAGCTGCCTAGGAGGGAAGCGGGCTGCTCCGTCTCGGCAATGAACGTCTTTTGCTTGAAGCCAGAACCTTCCCCTTCTACTACCAGGTCTTGGCAGATTCCGCAAACTGCTTGATCTGCTTGATGGATCTTGTGTAGCTTTGCAGGCTCCGATATACTCTGCCACATCCTACGTGCTGCAAAAAGCGTAGCAGCTGCCAGCTTCCCAGGCCAGAATACTGTCGCGTGTCAGGCTCAGGATGCAGAGCAGTGCAGGTAGTCCCTTCATTACGTTCCCTCCCAAGATATCACAGAGTCCCCGGATGTCCGGTACCAGTTGCGAACCCCTTCTGATCTTCCCATGCTCCATCGAGAAGCCCAATTGGGGCTGTCATAGCCAGACACACTTGTCTGAAGAACTCTTGAAGAGAATCCACTGCATAGAAGCATCATCCGGCACAGTAACTCTCTTCCAGCCGCGACTCCATGACCTCAGGGCATTTTCCCAAGTTCAGATGCGTGCGTGTGACAAAACCGTAATTCCTTTCTGAAGATGTTGGAGATGATACTGGGATAGATGGCGGTGCCAAAGATTGGGGCTCATGGTTGGGGTCCCTATAGTACGGATTCTCATATAGCGGGGTCCATGTTGATCCCACCTGTTCGAACCCCCAAACTACAGGCCGCAGACAGGTGGGCTTATAATTGTTGGAAAGAAAGTTAGCAAATTAGGGTTTGTTGAAGGCGTTGGAATTTGTTGAAGGAAGCAGTCTCACGAATGCCAACAACCACAAAGCCAGACCCCAGGCCTCAACCCAAACAAGTTCACGTTGTTTATGGTTTAGGGTTTACCCCTGACTGGGTTGGAAAACTCACAAAGTCCAATCTACACCCCGCCTTTATCAAGAACCCTGTCACCAAAGGAGGCATGAATGAACCTAATTACGCCTTGTTTAGGACTTATCCTGGGCCGAGGGGGGAGTCAGCACCCTGGAGCCTAAATCCCAAGCCCTAAAACCTAGTACAAGGCTTCATAACGCTGATCCCCACAACCCAAACGCTAAAGCCCAATCCCTAAACCCTAAACTCCAAACCCTAAACCCCAACCCCCAAATCCTAAACCCTAAACCCCAAACCCTAATCCCGGAACCCTAATCCCTTAACCCCAAACCCTAAACCCCAAACCCCCATCCCAAACCCTAAACCCCAAACCCTAGACCCCAATCCCAAAACCCTTATCCCCAAGCCCAGGGCCTCACTCTGAGCCCAAAGTTCCTGAAGCGCCTTCTCTTTGCGGCGCAACTCGGAGCGGAGGGCCTGGTTTAACCTTAATTATGCTTAGGCATGCCCAAATTACCTCAAAAGGGTATGGTTTGAGGTTTAGGGTCTTGGGTCTAGGTTTAGGGTTGAAAGTCCTTCCTAAAAATCTTAATTAAGCCGAAGCATCCCCTTAAATAAGGGGGGAACCTAGCGCGGGTTAGTATAGAGGGGGATGGTAGGGGAACCCATGAGTTGAAATTGACGGCTCAGTTGGGGGAAGCTCCGTTTAGGGAGGGCTTCTGAAAACAAGGACCCTTTAAAGGGCTCATAGCATATAAGTGTATATATATACACACACAAATATGTACAGTTGCTTGGCCGCTTACTTTAAGGGTTTAGGCTCTTTAGCTTCTCAAAAAAGGGTTGCCCTTAAGGACCACGGGTGTACACCGGGAATTACAAACGGAATAGGCGGATCTCTAATACGGATTGCAGGAAGGCTAATCCTTAGAGACTTGGGACCTAAATACTTGGAACGTGTTATAAGTAAAAAAACTCATCAGTGACCTGGAACTGTTGAACTCACAGTATATGACCCCACAGCATGGTCTTCTACTCCTTCTCCCCCAACTTCTCCTTCTTCAACTACCACTACTGCCACTCGCACTCCATACTCAGTGCCCTAAACCCTAAACCCTAAACCTTAAACCCTAAACCCTAAACCCTACACTGCGCGCCTTGGTCCGAGCCAGGTCGGCCGCAGATCTCTTGGCGTCGGCGGCCTCCGCGGCCCGCCGGGCCTTCAGCAGGGGCTGCTGCTGCTGGTGCTACTGCTTTCACCACCACAATCAAATGAGCTATAGTCCAAACTCCTTGAAGGCAATTATATTGGGGATTATGAAGGGAGTATAAAAGAGGTGTTTGAGGGGGATTCTAGGAGTTTAGACTATAGCTCCAATGGGTTTCAGGATGTTCGCGCTCCTGGCTAGTAAGCCGAAAAACCTACCTCCACACCTGACCCGAAACCCTAAACCCCGATACCTGCCATCCTACAACCTATATTCTAAATCCTGAATCCTAAACCCTCTAGTTAGTCCCAAAAAAAGGCTCCCGGGCCTCACTGAGGCGCTTCGCCTCAGCCGCTTCGGCCCTCAGCGCCTGCTTGAGGCTTGCCGTTTTAGGGTTAAATTGGGAGATTGAAGATAGGGTACTATACTAGGCTTCACAGTTTTAGGGCGGGAAAGTGAATATACGCACAAAAATGGTAATAGATGTATTTATTTGTATGCACATACACATGCACATACACATACACATACATACATCTGCACATATATACACACATATACACAAAAACATATGCAGTCGCATATACATGCGTGGCGATTTATAAGAATCACTATGAGGATCCACTTCTTAAGAACAAGCAAGCCTGGCTGAGGCGTCCCCTAATACAAAGGCGTTTTTGCTGCGCTCTGCAGGGCTTAGGGTTTAGGGTTTTGAGTTTATACAGGGTTGGGGTTTGGGGCTTAGGGTCTAGAGTTTGGGATTTGGGGACGGATGGTTAACACGTACTTGCAGCCTAGAAATGTGGTGAGGAATGATTCGGAATGACTTTGAAGCAGTTCCTCAGCCTCCGTCTGTTGTCATGACAGTAACGATGATACTAGCAGGGATCTCAACCAAAAAACGACGATTAGTATGCACGACTTGGTCGTAGATGTAATCATGAAGACTGGTTGAAGTAATACTACGAACGGGATGAGAAGGATGCCTACAAGGCTTACAACAACTGTTTTTCTGCAAAAGCCACCGTACGAATAGTAGAACTATGGCATCTCCTTTGCCTATAATGAGTGCCATAACGGCACTGTGCAAGAAGCTACGAAAGATGACCATCACAGCCAATTAGTGGATGCCAAAAATCAGGAATCCCCGGCTTTTGGTGGCACGTATAGAAAGGAGCACAATGCATAATATGCTGGGGTCTACATTGGGGTCCCCCGGTTTACTCAAACTACCAATTCATTTCTGCGACGACAAGACATCCTGCCAAAACCACGTGGGGATCTTTGAAAAAGTGCCTATACCCCGAGGTACCCCTAAACCCTAAACCCTAAACCCTAAGTCCTTGAGAAACTTCTCATGTCTTGGGGTCGGGACGTCGAGCCTTGAGCCGCGCATCTTTGCTGGCCAGACTTTGACGTGCCTGGAAGCAGCTCCTAGATCTATTGGTTTCTAATAGGGTATAGGGGAGATGGGAATATGGTTATTGGGATTATCTTGTTTTCATCATAGCAACCACTCAACAACTTGGTCATCAGTCAATTTCTACCTAAAACAATACTGATTTCAAGGTCCGAGGTGGCAACTTGGTGGTCACCATGTCAAGTCGTGGCAGGTCTTTGAAGGTGTTTCTCGACATTAGGGCCCATCAACAATCATCCACTGAGAATGTGTGGAAATTTCTCAAAATCCGTGGACATTACTTACTGGTTCTTCCCTCCAGCCTGGTGTAACCGCGCGGTTTTGAGGGGGTTGTAGGAGACCAATTTTGCTGACAGGCGTGGGGTT